ACAAGTAGAGCAGGAAAATGAAAAAACTCGAAAACAGCATAAAACTCGGAAAAATTACCAAATATTGTGGTCTTAACTTTTTTATCATTGTTTGAACGAAAATTAATTCTGACTATTATATTCTTGTTCTCTAAGATCTTGCGCATTTTCTCATATATCATTTGTTTGTTTTCCTTCTTCTAATGAATTTTTTTCCTGAATGATACTGAAATCCGTGACACAAATGATAGTGCTCATACTTAGTCCTTAGAAACTAAAAATGGCTATATTGCTCGGCATAGTGGCATAGTGGGTTTTGTAGAGCAGACTTTGCTGTATCAAACCCTATATTCGGAATTTCAGCCAAACTTGAAATTGTTAAAATGTAAACATAAACTTATGATTTTCGATGATTTCGAGCATTTTTCAATAGAAAATCACTTGTTTTTAAAGTTTTAGCCGCCATGATATCCTCTCATTTGCGAGCATAGAGTCGAAAATTCAAAGTTTATTAAATTAAATTATATTTCATTTTTCAATTAATTTGAATCTTTCACATTCAAAGCTACTGAAAGTGTCAAATTTTCGATTTTTAATTCGTTAAAACTCATTTCTTCGAAAAAAAACTCCGAAAATTAAAATCGTTACTTTTATTATTTAATATTTTTTACTGTAACGAATTTTAACAGCCATTTTGTTTGAAGAATTGAAATTTGTAGAGTTCGCTCTTGTTTTCTATGTTATTTCTATACTTTTTTTGGGAAAATGTAGAGTTCGCTCGTGTTTTCAATACAATTTCTATCTATAAATTTAGGAAGATGTAGAGTTCGCTAGTGCTTTCAATACAATTTCTATCTATAATTTGGAAAGATATAGAGTTCGCCACTGTTTTCTATGTAATTTCTATATTTTAGTTTAGGAAGATGTAGCGTCCGCTCTTGTTGTCTATGTTATTTCTATTTTCTGGTTTAGGAAGATGTAGAGTTCGTTTGATATATGCCTGCAGGGTTTCGATATATTCAGCTCTTATTAGTAGAGTGTGCTAAACTACGTAGTGCTCTTCTTCTTTTTCTAAATTGAGTCTCATATTTAGAGTTTATTGGATCGAATTACCGATATGAACGTCATAAGCCTGTTTTTGTATGGGAACTCTATGTAGTTTCCATACTAACATAAGATAAACAGTCCACTGAAAAGAAACTAATTGGAACCCAAATATATAATTATTCAACAACAGAACTGTGGAAACAATGTAAACGGGACAAGATTTAGGTGTTGGTATTAGAGTTCTCTTCAAACAAGCGTCCATCGAGGTCACACTTTAAATGGATATTGAATCTTGCTTATGAAACATGAGAGAAACAATTCAAAGCTCTCTTCGATCTTCATCTAAACTTGTTTTTTTCGCCCCTTGCTCGAGCTATGTTAGAGTTCGTTTTTCAATATGAGAATTAAGCATATCACCTTCCAAAAGGTGTTCGTGATTAAGATTAAGATGCATAGTACTTAAACTAAATCTATGATCTGGCTACGTTCCAAAAAAGTTTTTATAAAAACTCTCTCGCGATCAACCTATTTCAGTGACCTCGTTTAAAATGCGAAAAGATTTCATTGGCGTTTTTTTAAAACAATTTCTTCGATAGTATACCTCACTTATAAAATCTTCTTTTTGGTGAAGCAGCAAAATTCATGCTTAATGCAGAGCTGATAAAACATTTTGAATCAAATACTTTGAAATGTGAAACAAATTTTCTTTCGCTGCCATGTTCTTACACTGATCTTCCAAAATGAGAACCGACACTCTCAGACCGCATTCGCTTACCTTCAAACACACTACACGTGACACTTCTAAATCTTTTTTACATTCAGTTAGATTTATGCTGGATTTTCTAGCGAACTCTACATCTTCCAAAATCTACAGATAGAAATTGTATTGAAAACAGTGGCGAACTCTACATCTTCCCAAAAAAAAAGTATAGCAATAACATAGAAAACAAGAGCGAACTCTACATCTTCCTA